ATGAAGTGGAGGGTTTGAGTGAAGTGGAGGTGCGAGGTTTGGATGAAGTGGAGGGTTTGAATGAAGTGGAGGTGTAGGGTTTGGATGATAAGTGGAGGTGCATGGTTTGGATGATGAAGTGCAGGGGAGGAGGAGGAAGTAGAGGTGGAGGATGAACAACATGTGCAGAGGGAGGAAGAAATAGAGGTGGAGGACATGGATGAACAACACATGCATATGGAGGAAGAAGTACACAGTGAAGATTTTACTTCAAGTGTGTCTAATGATGCAGGGGAGGTGCATGGTGATGAAGGACAACAGATGTTGATGAAGGAGAAGGGGATGAAGGACTAGTGGATGTTGATGTAAATGTTGATGAAGTACTTTTGGACGATATAGAAGGGGCTGTATCAGTGGAAGTTAATGAAAATGAAGAAAGTGGAAGTGAGGATGCAGATGATATTATACATAGCCAGAAAAACCCATATGACAGGGGGTTGTCTAATGATGAGTGAGACTCAGATTTTTTGGCCTCTAGAAGAAAGTGGAAGTGAGGATGCAAGTGATGAAAGGCAAAGTTGTGGTCCATTTGGAACATTTGTTATGCAAAAGAGTATGTCTGACTACAAGTGGGAAGTGGGAACAAAGTTTAGGGATAAAAATGAGTTTATGGCTGCTGTTAGAAGTTATGCAATCCATGGTGGGTGGAATTTGAAGTTTATTGAGAATGATAACAGAAGGGTACGAGTGAGATGTTTGGGTGCCCAAAAAAGTTATCCATGGATGGCTTATTGTGGGTATTTGGAAGGATGTAGGACATGACAATTGAGAAATTTTTTTGGATAATCATACTTGCAATAGGCAATTCAACATTAAAATGATGAATTCTAAGTGGTTTAGTGAGACATTAGATAATTCACTACATGAAAATCTGAATTTGAAGATAAATGAAATACGCTCAAAAGCTTTGAGGGAATGGAATACTGATGTCACAATTTCTAAAGCTCGTATGGCAAAGATAATTGCATCTTGCAAAGTTGAAGGTAGTTATAAAAATCAGTTCAAAAGTATATATGACTATGCACATGAATTATTGAGATGTAACCTTGGATCAACAGTAAAAGTTAAAGTGGATAGTGACAATGGTGAGACAACATTTCAGAGGTTCTACGTTTGTTTGAAAGCTTGCAAGGTTAGCTTCCTCTCTTGTAGGCCATTTATTGGTTTGGACGGATGTTTTTTGAAAGAAAAGTGTAAGGGGGAGTTATTAACAACTATTGGTAGATATCCTAATGACCACATGTTACCTCTAACATATGCAATTTTTCGTTAACTTGGACATAATAGAAATAATTACCCATTACGTCCTCAACATGAAGTAGACCTACCAAAGGCATCTCAACCACCACCCCAACCACCAACTGAGGAAATGACACAACAATATGAAGCACCTCCACAACCAACACAAGAATCCAGAGAAGAACAAACTCAAAAAAAAAGAAGGGACAAGTTACCAATTAGAAGACCATGTGCTTTATAATGTTATAATGTTGTTGTACTTTTGTTTTGTTCGAATTGGTTACTTGTGTGCTAAACATTTGGAAATGACACTGGATATGTTTTGATGTACTTTATAATTTAAATCCTTACATGTAACCATGTTCTTTGTTTATTTTATGCAAAGATATCGTTTTTATGCTTTATTTAATTACAAAGATATTGTTGTTTATTGCTTTATGGACACATCAATCAAAATCATATGGACCATATTCGCAAATAATTAACGGAAATGGAGACTAAATTGAACAATTATTTACTAACACAAATTTCATTCCTTCATTCATTACAAAAGACATAGGCACAACCTTAACATCACAACAGTTCAACTCCATTGACCTAAAAACACTACATTCAACCAGATTGGGACCACTTAAAACACATCATCAATTGAACCAAAATACACACGACATATCATCCTAAAAACACACAGAACATAACTATGTTCACTACACTAACAACACCAGCCACTGCTACTAATAATTGGATCATTTTCTTCAAAGCTTTGACTGTGTTATCCAAATCATAAATCTTCCTCCTTTGCCTCCCAATAATAACATCCCTTTCATCAACATTTTCTTCATTGCACCACTTGAAATAGTTGCAACACATCGCATTACTAGCTCCACTCTGTTATTCATGAACAACAAAAACTTCAAACACAATGTTAATTACTATCACATAAACAACATAGGGGTTATTCAGATTACCTTGTAGTTACGACAACTCCAAAAATATCTTCTCGCATTCTTTGAAGTTCTAGTCATTTTTACTACTGTCATCTTACCACAATTGTAAATGAGGATTATCCTTAGCCCCATTGAACCACCACCATGTGAATAATGATAACTTCGGTGCCCCAAACTATTGCAAGAAGAAGATTGGGAAGCAGACATGACTCATTAACCACCAAAATTAGGAAAAAGATTGGTTAACATCCAACGTCAGTGTGGCTTTCAAAGAACAAAAGTAAAAACCCTAATTTGGTTTCATAAAATAAATTTAAAAAATAATAAATCCAACTCACAACGCGGACTCCACCTAAGTAATACATGACATTTCACTATGTAATTACACATCTGGACATTTGGCCGTTAACAATTTAAAAAACATTTGCAAAAAGAACTAAATTGAACACAAATTATATTTTTTAGAAGTACATCAAACAACATAAAAAACATTAAGACAATTTGAAACATTTCCAACCAAAATTAGAATCAATATTATACCTTGTTAAATTCTAGAGCAGTTAAATAGATGACATCAGAATTAGATTTGAGGGTTTACCAAAAGGGGAAAACATTTTCTGAACCTGCATAAACAAGGCAACCCGGTTAGGGTTCAAGGACTGAAGTGACCGGAATTTGAAGCATAGAACTGGTGATTTATGTGTTTCAGATTTATGAAGTATTGTACTTGTTAGTGACAGTAACAATTCAACAATCAGCAATGGCGAAAGCAGTGATCGGAGAAGAAACCCGACTCAAATTGGCGGAGGATCGCCTCAGCCAATCCGCACTTCCATCGGAGGCACATTCTCCAATGCCATCTCTGTCACACTCTCACTCTCCCAAATACCTATCTAACTAACTACCACCTCCGATTTTACTTTCAGGTGGGTCTTCTAATCGGCAAGTTCAGCTCCGCTTTGGGCCGCGCCTTCATCTTTGATTTGGTTCCCACCCCACTCAACGATTCCGGTGAGCCCGCCTGTGCCCTCATCGAGCCCGACAAGAAGAAGGGTCCAAAGCCCAAATCTAAATCCGAGCCCGCCGATTCCTCTTCCCTGTTCATCGACAAGGACTGGGTCGCCGAACATGCACGCCAGGTTTCTAGAATGCTCGTCGGTGGCATGAAGGTCGTGGGCCTATACGTTTGGGTTAGCGATGCCGCGTTCAAGAATTCTACCATGATGCTTTGCCAAGTATGTTAGCAATTGGTCACTACTTAATCCATTCGTATTTGACTTCGTGATTAACTATGTATGTGTTGTCTTGTAGACAGTGAAGGGTGTTGCTGACGCAGCGCGGGGTTTGGAGGGTGATTGGGATGAGAGACTGCTTCTTCATATTTGTTATAGTCCTAGAAGGTAACCCTAATACTAATAATTGTTTCATTTTGTATTATTATTTTAGTTTATGATGTGATGCTCGAATGTTGTTATTAGTGTAGGTGGAGTTGTAGAAACTGTTCATTGTCTTCGAATATTACATCAAGTAGTTTGCGACCTTGTGATTTTAAAATGGGGAAGGTCTTAACTTCCCTACAGACGTACAAGTGCATTTACAACTTCAACATTAGGTAACTTCCCGGAAATTTGTGAAATTCATAGATTATCGGCTGAATCTGTTGGTAATTTGAGTAATTGGATATGGTGTATTCTGTTGTGTCCTGCAAGGTTACCCATTCTACGTGACAGTGAATCGAAGTTTCAGACATTGAGTGACGTTCTTCGTCATGTTATATCTGTTCATACCAAAGAGCTTACAGGTGCAAAGGCCTTGATTGACGGTAAATTGGTAACTACTCGATTACCTGTTTTTCTCGTCAGCCTATTACTTCTAATTTCAGGCTACTGTTTATGTTTAGTGAACTTTATTCAGAAGTAAGAAGCAATTTGGTTCCCCATTTAGTGAAAAAACTTCAGTTTCTATAAGTAGCAGAATTTAATTCCCTGCTTGTACTGTGTTTGCCTCCCACAATATTGTTTTCATTGCAGTACAGCGGCTCTCAGCACCGGATATTACATGGTTTAAGATAGTTTCTGTATCAGAGTTTGTTTGAGTTGGACATTGAATTAATGTAAAATTTGATGTTGGTGTCCTAAAAATTCCTTGATGAAATACTGAAACTGTATTCTGCTTGACTGTTGATGGTGAAGTCAGATGAAAGCTTTTATAATTAGATTATGGACAAGTATTCTCATTTGCTTCATTATTTATGTTAAGAATCTTACATCAACTAAAAATATGGTCAAATTATAATGTATAAGTGAGTGCAAATCTCATCTTTCAAACTTATTTTATGAGATTGAGTTAGGCTTAAAATTCATTTTTTTAATATGATAGCATAGTTTATCCTAGCAAGGTTTATTGGGTTATCGTGTGTCATCCACTATTAGACCATGTACACATATTTAGTCTCATGCTTGAGATGTTACAAGGGGTTGTGCTGGACATCTTACATCAACTAGAGATATGATTAAATTATAGTATATAAATTAGAAGAAATCTCACATTTGAAACTGGTCTTACGAGGTTGATTTAAACTTGAAATCTACTTTTTAAGAATTTGTTATGATGTAGGATTTAGAAGTTGATTCTTGACTCACTTTTTTTTAATAGTATGTTACTAGATCTATGGTATCTAGAACAAATTATGTTAATAAATGTTGAAGATATTCATAACCAGAGCATGACTACAATACTTTAGCTGATATATTTTTGGACAAGTGTATCATCAGTGCTGCCCATGCAGTTTGATATTCACGCTCTCTTAATATAAGCTGTTACAGTAACAATGCAATTTGTTAGAGATATACGAATTCGTTTTTAGTGGCACAACAGTGGTAGAGTATTAGAAAACTAATCGGTGGAATGATAGAGTACATTTAAATTATAACATCATATTTACCTTCAGACTAACACAAGTAGAAAACCCATGGGGGCACGCTCAAGATTTGCCAAACAAGCCAAAAAATTAATTCAAATGTGATCATGACAAGTACATAAGCCTAGAGGGGTCAAAATAGGTTCAAACCCATGAGGCAACCCAACTCTTCATGGGTTTGAGACAGTCGGGTTAAAAAGAATATAGTTTTTTTTTTTAAATATGGGTCAAACTGCATCCCATTTACTTAACTCGTGGGTTAAATAGATTCGAGTCAAGTTAAAAGTGGATTGACTCGTAACCTACTGACAACAACTCTTTATCGTTTTTTCATCTTTATTTTATTATAATTGTTTACTACTTCTAATTATGTAGGTTAATCTTAGGTGTTTTCAAGACTTGAAAGTTATTGAATTGTGTTTGAGTGGTTTGGATGATTAATTTATTCGTTTGTCCAATTATATATGCTGATACTTTGATTTTTCATATATTATCTTTATAATATCACTTTCTAATTGTAGTTAATACTTGGTGAAATAAGTGAAAAATTTGATTGTACTATTATAAATAGGTGGATCAAGTCAATTTACTTTGACTGTATGCAATAAATATATGAAACAAGTCAGAGGAACAAAACATACTTAATTGAGTCAATCCACTAGTTTGTGGTGAACATAATATACAAAATCTTTGACTCACTAACAAGTGAATCAAGTTAAGTTGATTCGTTTTTACCTTAACTAGTGGTGAACTTATGTGAGCCATTTTGACTCACTTTCACACCTTTACGTAAGTGCTTGGGAAATCAATCCTCAAAAGCTAGCTATTAAGGGGTAAGAACCAAACAATATAATATTCCATTGAGTATCTCATACTACTTAATGTGGGACGTAGGCACCCACGATACCCAAGTCCCTATTGTATCAGCTTCTAGATGGTATTGAGTTAAATGTACCGTTATCTTTGATAGAGTGTCATACAACTATCTTAGTTAAAATGATAGAGTGTCATACAACTATCTTAGTTAAAATCATTTGTATTGATCTTGCTGAGCGCAACTGTCTTAAATAAAGGACTTAGTGGAGGTTTGATAATTGTTGAGCACTGTTGAGCACAACTGATTTTTCAAACAGGAATTTCAGTATATCAGATATACCTTCTAGGCTATTGATTACCTTGATTTTCAAGTACAGGCAACAGGATATGGTGTCTTGAATATATTTCATATGAATTCCATGTTGCTTACTGCTCAAGTGTGCAGTTCTATTCTATGATGTTTGGTAATTGTGTAGAGAATGAGATGGACTAAAGTTTTTGTTGGATATAGTGAAAACTATGTATGAGATTAATCTTCTTTGTGTTGAATATACACGTAAGATACTTTATTTATAATAGAAGAAATATGAACAAAGTTCAAAATGCAAATAAGAAATAATAACAAACTAACTAAAGATAAAAGATAAAAATAATATATCTAACAGTTTCATTTTATCTAAGACGGTCATATTACCATAATGTTTGTCTACCTAAAATGCTATCCAGAGCTCACATTTAGGTTAAGCCATATCTTAAAAGTGCTGTTTGTGACATGAAATCTATTTGGACAAATTTTCCTGGAAACACTTCTTGGAGAGAAAAATAAAAGGAAAAAAAAATGAAATCAACTTCTTTATAAGTTATAATTAGTGACTAAAATTAGTTTGTACTTAAGCTAATTTGTAGAAGGTCATATCTAAATTTTTATTTTTAACATGTGCAGAAACTAATTTTAGCTCATGAAGAAATTCATGTCATTTTTTTTTCTTATTTTTATCTTTTAGAAGTCCTTATGAAAGAGTCTGTCCTGAAAGGCTCATAGCCTTATACTGCTTGTGTTTTGGGTTTATTGCCCCAATCTATTTTTTTATCACAATTTGTAGAAAATCCTTATGATATCATTATTTATAAGAAAATCATTTCTACTTTTAGGTTGTTGAGAGTGAGTCATATTCATCGGATGGTGTGCATGAAGTCGAATTGCTTCTACCATTTCTGAACAATAGATCTATTGAAGGTATGTTTGCCTTCGGCGCTCTCATATAAATGTTCTTATTATTATTGTTATTCTTATTTTGTTGTTTTAAAATTTCATTTTCTAATATTGACAGTTAATATTTTGTAAAGCATGCAGCCAAGGAGATGTTGTTGGTCTTCTTTCATTTAGTGGTATGATATGTTCTTTTGCATATCTAAATTCAAAAGAGCCAACTTCACAAGCCGTCACTAATATAAAGGTGAGTCAATAATTATATATATTCATTCTGTTCATGATTTTATGATCAAACTTGTCCTTTTTTTCAAGGGTTGTCTTAGGTTGAAAATTGTTTGGAAACCTCTACCCTAAAATATGATTTGTTGATCCCCCAGTTCTTGTGTGTAATAAATAAAATTAAACTCCCCCCACCATTATCTTTTCGTGGTTGTCTTGTATTGTCATGGATTACAATTCTGTGTGTAGGGAGATATCATTAAGAGTCTGCAAAGTAGATTGGATATAATCTGTGATGAGGTAGATGCTGACTCTGGTAACAATCATGATGAAGCAAGACATGAAATATCGGTTGAAAAGCCTGTTCCCCAACTAGTGTTACTCACATTGAGGTAGGTAACTTGTAATAATGGTACAGTACTCATTCCAGTGCATGAAGCTTCTGCCTTGTGGAGGGTTTGGGTAGGGTAGATGTATACTCTTAGTTCCTGAAGTTCACAGGGGAGTCTGATTTGTCACTTAGGCAGATTTTTATTTCACAATGATTTTCTTGGTTTTTTTCTTTTTGTGATCCAGATGACAAGGTTCAATTAATTCCATTGGTGGTTTGAAATGATTACATTGTGTGGGCTATTAATTTGTATTCGGTTTTTGTTACAAAGAGGTCTATAGCCTAGTGGGGGGAGAGGGAGGGTAGTTTGAGCAGTGGAAAAGTAGCTTAATTGGGATTTGAAGCTGGGAACAAGCACTCACTCAATGGATTTTATGCCACATTGACACTTAAATGAATCATCCATTAGCATTTTCTGTATATTGATTGTTAAAGTTTACGTTGATACATACATAGAGAGTAAATCCGTGACCTAGATGTGTATAATCTGAAACTCATTCTAGATTTTGCCACCATAAACATCTAAAAGTAATAATCATGTCAATACATAGATTAAATTGATACATTTTTTGTTATTTTGGCTTCTATGCTTTGGTTTGTTTGATTAATTAAACCTATCATATGTTTTTTTTGGCAGAAAAGGATGCAGTCTTCCATTTCCTAGAAGAGTCTTTGCACCTTGGTTAGCAGGGGTGTATGTGTGTGATTATTTGCAGCCTTCTGAAACTGTCGAGGTTGGTTCCATTTCTGTAGGGAAATAATAGATTTTGTGTCTAAATTTATTTCCATGCGTGATTTTGTTTGAAGATCAACTATTCATTATTTTGCATTATGGTATTGTTGCAGAAAAAAATGTTATTTGCTTAAGAATTTTGAACTGATCCTTAAACATGTGCATAAACAGACATTGTTGTCTTGACAATATCAATAATTTAGTGATTCTGGAATATTTCTGTCAGAAATAAAGCACCAGGTCATACATTGAACAACTGTCTAATTAATAAGGTATAACCTGGTGCTTTGCACATAAAGAATGCATGTATTTGTGTACGCGCTTGAATTGAGGAGTATGCATTACATGATTTTATGTTCCGATAACAACATAATCGCAGAAGGCAAAGAAATATGATAATGACTTTACTTGCTATGTTCTTATGAACTTGTTCTTTTATTTTAATTTTTCTTTGTTACTACTATTTCTTAAATATTAGTCCTGACTTGTGATTTTCATTCTACAGGTTTTTAAGGACCATTGCATGGAGTTATTATCCATGAAAGCTCCAATGGATGTCTCTACAATTTTGGAGCCAGAAAAAGAAGTCCTATCTTTCAAAACTAAATCTTTCTATGATCTGGCAATGCCCTCCAATTCAGAAATTCATCTCATGGAAAACAAGAGCAAACATGATGGTGGAGGAGAGAGTTCAAATAGTAAAAGTGCAAAGCCTGGCCACATTAATGCTGTCGCGGCTGGTCTTATCCTTCTCTTATCTGTGTTAATTGGTTTTGTGCTGTTCTTTCTGAAGGGTTGAGGGTTTTATTCTAGGATTCTCTCTCCATGGACACACATTGGCTTAATTTATAAAATTGCACAGCAGCTGACAACAATTTACACTTGGAAATCATACAAAATAATTATTTATCGTCTAAGGCCAATAGGGTTTTGATGCTCTTCATATGGGATCAATTCAGAACCTAATCTCGGTTCTAGAGTGAGAAAATTATAAGTTGCACATTTTATTAAGAAACATCTCAAATTAGTTTGCTTGAATATTTTAAATATAACTTAATGACGTAATGATTTCACATTACAAGTTTTAAAGAGATTAAAACTGAACTTTACATATTTATTCAAGTACATTAAATTTTTTGTATGTTTAGAGATGCGAAATGGGATATTGTACATTTAAAGAGGTTAAAATTGGATTTTTACATTTCATAGATCTTGAAATATTGGTACTTATCTTTCTCACTTTTCTTAAATAAGAGGAGATTATTATTTTTTTTTGAAAATTTTTTAGAGACTAAGAAACTTTCGATACCAATTTTTGTATCAACTAATTTTGACTTTCAAGTATAAGGAGAATATAAAATAAATAAGTTAAAACATTAAGTTGTGTTTTATTCATTATAAAGACATGTAATTTCTTAATATAAAAATAAAAAAATTATACTTTTAACATTGTCATTTTTGCTAGCAAGAAATTAAGATTAAGATATCATATCAATCTTGTTAAAATTTATCTTAAAAAGAAAAAATAATATCCTCAAATTGATGTAGATTATTAAGATATAAAGTTGAAACCAATTTGAAAAAGGAAAATAAAAAAACTACCTTTCTCATCTGTACATATGTTTCATATAAGAGTGGTGAATCTACAGTGGAGGAGATGATAACAAAGGTGAAGACTGGTGGCAGAAAAAGAAAGAAGACGAAGACTGCTGACAGAAAAAGTGAGAAGATGAAGATTGATTCTCCTCGTTCTGTATACGAGGACTTGATGAAAGAAATTCAGTTGAAGCTACCTACGAAATCTGTGTTATGTTGCAAATGCTTATCCAAGTCATGGTTCTCTCTAATCTCCGATCCCCAATTTGCAAGAAGACATTTTGACGCTGCAATTGCACCCACCTACAAGCTTTTAAATGTAGTTAACAATTCTGAAGCTTATTGTGTAGACATAGAATCAGCACTTTGTGACGATTCCTAGCATACAGTGTCCAATTTTACTATTCCTTCATGGTTTGACCGGTATGAAAACTACTTATCCCTGGCAGGTTCTTGTAGGGGATTTCTTCTCTTACAATTTTTGTTCCATGATTTTGTGCAGTGGAATCCGTCATCTGGTATACAGAAAGAAATTCACCATGACACTTAGGCACATGATCTATCTGGAATGGGTTATGACCCAATGGATGATGATGACATTGTGGTGGTGATGGTAACCCTAGGAATTTACGGTGCGTTTGGTTCATTGTTTCTCTTTGAGAACACATTGTTGGACTTCTGTTGAGTGTGGTCTTCTGTAAGTTCTACATAAGTTTGAACTCAGAAATGGACATCTTAGAAATATAGTTATTGCAGTTGATGTGATGGAAAAAAGATTACTAGAGATTCCATTGCCGGATCATTTAGCCATTCTTCTTCCAAAGGAATCTGATATATATCATTTGAAGGTAATGGGAGAACATCTGTATTTGTGCTTGGTGGTGCATAAACAGCCTCTACGGATTGAAATATGGTCGATGAAAGAATACAAAGAAGACACTCTTTCGACCAAAACATTTGTTTTTCCTCCAGTTTTAGATGTTGTGTGAATCTTATTTTCCCCATATGCTTCACAGAAAATAGGGAAATTTTGGCATTCACTGGCAACATGTCAGTGAAAATCAACAAGAAAGGCAAGCTTAGATATGGGAAGCAGCAGACTTGATTTCAGTTTCCTAAGATGTGGTATGTATAGAGAGAGTTTTCTATCACTCCCTGGCAACTCAGAAGAGAAATTAAGTGAAAATGAACAACAAAAAGGCCTCAGTTCGTGTGAATGTGAAGATTGAGTTTTTGAAACTGTTAGTGAGAGTATTCATATAGAACAATGTTATTGAATTCCCTTATCTAACCTTAATTTAATATTGTCAGATGACACTCATCTAAAATTTAATTTCAAATAAAATAAATAGACGTAATTAAATCTTAGTTACCTTATAAATTTTAAAAAATTTATTTAAAACTTTCGTTATTTAATACAATTTTATAACTGAAGACATGAAAATTATTTTACAGTGATTACAATATTTTATTATATTAATTAAAAATATCATTTTTCAATTCTTAAAAGCAAATAAAATAACACCTAAAAACAATATAATATATTTGTAACTAAAACAATAAAAATTATTCATTATTTTACAATAACTACAATATCTTATTATGTTAACTAAAAAATCTCATATTTATAAACTCGTAAAAATAATATAACAGCTTAAAAACAAGTAAGATATCAGTTACGTTACCATATCAGTGAAAAAACTAATCAACGAAAAATTAAAGAAAACATATAAAAATTCTGAATATAATTAAAACTTAATTAAAATACGAAGTTTGAGACTTACAATTAAATGAAATAAATATAAGCATTTATTCACTGTTTTTGAATTTATTCTTAAACACGATTAAAATTGTAATACTAGGGAAATCCATTCCACGCAAATAAGTCAGAAGAATTTGATAATGTTTTAACTTAACTAGAATCATAAAGGCCTAAGAATTAATGGAGAGTTTCACGGGCAACCTTGATATCCAAAGTTAACACATGAAAAATTGATATCCATTTACGAATGCTAAAATTGAGTGATCGTTGTCAATAAATATGTTTCCATCAAAAAAAAGTTGGTAAGACTTGTGATTTTAGCATTGAAGAAACCTATAAATGCAAATCATGAAAACGAAAGAAATTCCAGCCTATAACAGAGCAACGGTAACTATCAGTTTCCGTTCCCTATATGGTTTTCGTCAGCAACATCACTGGGAAGATCAAGGCCATAAGGAATTTTGCCAGAATAGTTGGTAGATGATTCATCTGAACCAATCAGACTGCAAAATGGAAAATCAAATTCTTACGTGAGTTTTCTGTAGAAAGTCAAAGTGTAAGTCATTCTGCGAATAAAATCCTCACCCTTTATCAACGACAACCATTGAACGTAGCTCACAATTAGCAAAGCTGTATGTACAAAATAGAAACCCAACATCAACTAATTAGTACCATGAAAGTTTGATACAACTAAGGCTCGAAGAAAACTATTTGCTTAAAAGTTATATATTCTCCTAAAGATTGGCGTTGAAAACTTCAGAGAAGGGTTTCTCAAACAAATTTTTGTACAAAATATTTTTAAGCTTCATTTTTAAGGGAACCTCAAATAAAAGGTGAAAACAATGAGTAGGAATATCCCTCAAATTCCCGTCTTCCGTTTTTTATTTTCAAAGTATTTCTTTTCTCAGAAGCGAAGATCATTACCAAATAAACATAATACAGAGAACTCAACCTAACAAAACAAAAATCTTAAAATCACTAGAGTTTATATTTTTTTAAAAAATAGAAGTCATTCAAACATAATAAAACACAACAAAAAATTAATTATTAGTATTCTAATCAAATATAGTATACAAGTTTAAAATTGCAATTAAAAATATTTGAAGTCTCCATGATATATATCTAGCATAGTTTCAACACCCGACACAATTACTATGTAGAAGTATTTGTGCTTCTGTGGTTGTTGGACAAGGACATGAATTATATACTCCTATACTCAACCAATAGAGCTGACATGTAATTTAATGAATATGATATACATACACTGTCTGATAAAAGTAAAACCTAAGTGGTGTTAGGATTCAAATTGGTCATTCAATACTCACCACATAGAACAAAAAGCACGTTGTTGTTTATAATTTCTTGCATATATCTCAACACAAGGTGTTCATAAAAGAGACAGGCCAATAAGCTTTCAGATGAATACTTACTGTGTGCAGATTTCACTCTTCACTGTTGGATGACAATCATTTCCAAAAGCACTCAAGGAGTGAAACAGAAAACCACTGTGGGTAACAACAGCTATCTCCTTCTCTTTTCTTGTCCACAGCCTGGGCCAACAAGAAAATACGAAAAAAATCAGATTTCTAGCTGAAGGCATGTGCTTCAGATGTCATGCAACCACAGCACACGTAAGTGCAACATGGCCAAAATGTCAACTCAGTCCAACCAATTGAAAAATTTAGTTTAAACTTCAATTCTAATAATATATGAACATTTAAATTCAATACAATCAAGTTTATTTTTCTCTTTAGCTCTCCCTGCTTGTCTTCAATAAGACTGCTCTTGTGGAATATGAATACTCATGGATGTGAAATATAAATTGTATGATCACACTCACCATTCCAAAAATTTAAGTCCTCTGGCAGCAACTTCTTCATTCTTCTCTCTAATGTCAGGTTTCCACAGAATGTCTTCATCATTTTCTATCTGACGCAATTTACATGACGCATGAACCCCATCAAATTAATCTTGATTATGTTCTAGCAACTACGGATCAGAACAAACCGTGGTAGCTCTAGCCCATACATGAGCTTATCATAACAGACTACTTACCAATGAAAAATCAATAGCTGGAAACATATGTCGGTAGTCACTGATGCTTCTTCTCTTATCACAAGGATGCACCCCCTGAATTTCCCAAAATAAATAATAGATAAAGACAAATGTTGAAATTAAATGCCAAATGACATCAAAAACAGCAACGAAGGGGTAAACAAAATTATCGCTCAATTTTAAAATTTTGGCTGCTTAACATAACCCAATCTAGTCACTAGCTAGTGGCTATAAGACCAGTAACTTCTACACCAAATATCCAATCAGATTCCTTTTAAAATTATACAGTAAGAACATAAATCAATGTAGAGGAGCCAACAACCCAACACACATCTCATGCGTGAATAAACAAACTTACTATGAAATAAGACTTGGGAAACTTGGTTAAAATAAAACAAAAGAGCCAAAGTTGGAACTGAAAAGTACACCGTACAGAAGCTCTTCAAGAAGCTGACATTATTTGTATTTTATTCAATAACCAAACAAACACGAAAAAAGACCTGACATCAGTTTCCTAAATAACCAAGGAAACAAGTTCCAGAAGGGTAATGGACACGGCCAACAGGTAATTTCAGTAATTCATCAGGTACTTCCTAATTACTGGTTCTGTATCTTCTTGAAGCTTGGGAAGAAATAAGATATAGTAACTAACAAAATGTTGAAAGAAAACAAAGGTACAATTGATTTTTTGCCCAAACTGTCAAACTCCAAAGTTACAAAACCGTCATCATCATTACATACCAAGTGTTCCCGGCAAAGCTCCACTGCTATAAATGGTGGAGCATTGAGACTGGAAATTGCTTGCCGATCACTGTCTCCCACACCGGCATTCATTAGTGGAGGTACACTAGTCTCATCGGTACATGCTTCACCACCAAAAACTCCCACTGCTGTTTGCATGGTCCTGCAATGCAATGATTAGCAATACACATACGATAATCATTACCCCTTAATTTTGTATGTTTAATAATATGCAAAAACATTTCTTCAGTGAAAATGCCAGTACAACTTCACTTGAATACATCTAAATAATTTTCATGGGATACTACAAGGACACTCCAAATCAAGATTAATACCCACATAATAAATACAAAACTGGAATAAACTGTTCACAAATGTTTCCAGTTTTTCCAGCTTTCTCAGAATAAAAAATAAATTAGAATAAATTTTGCTAATAAGCATAGTGCCCTCATATTTGAAACAAAAGTAATATTTGAAAAATACTAGAATAATTAGATGTTAGATATATAACAAACTGATAGATACACAGGTACACATATACATACATACATATATATACACAAATAACAGAATAGTTTAACTGACACTGTATCATTCAAAGATTAAAGTTGACATGGGACATTCCATTTATAAACTTGTGCACCGTAGAATTTGGACCAAGAGTCATATTTCGATGAAACTTCACAGCAATCAGTAAAACATTATAATTTAAAAAAAATCATATCCAATTTGGTTATTTTATACATGATTAATCTGTGTCTAGACTAATTTGTAAAGATGTTTGTATGCACCCTATTATTTTTACGATGTTTTCTTTACTCACATGTCACATCATCTACAAGTATTCTTATCAAGCTCTGTTATATTTCAATAAATCTTGAAGACCTTGGTGAGAACCAAAAACGATCTTAACATGAGAGAGTAAAATGAGTATTAAATACTGACAAAACGTCTTAGGAAGAATTTTAAATTACAATGTGGATATACCTTAACAAGGGAGAAACTATAACTAGTTCAATTGTTTTGGAAAGACCGCTAGCCTTAACATGTCCTCTCAGATTTTCAACCTGTAATGGAGCCACACATATTACACATGACGTTAAAGTTAAAAAATATTACTGAGATGATCACAAGGAAAAAAGTTTACCAAATATGAAATTATAATTGACCCAACATCTCATGAGAAATTATGAGGAAGAGATTATAATGTGTCAAAACATAACAGTTAACACAAGTACCAATCTCTATAGGAAAGCCTAGAATTTTAACTTTTTTATAGTGCAAAAGTGCATCAAGATTTGTCCTAAAATAACATCACTTGATTAACAATTACCTGTTTCCAGCCGAGAGGGGTCAGGCTTGCATCAAAAAGATCATAAGACTTGTACGCTTCAAAGTTCTTCTCACCTTCTACATTGTGAAATCCTTGGGCATGTCTAACCTGAATACAAGATTGGAGAAGACAGTAATACACTTGAACATAAACAAATGATCTTTCCAAAACCAGAACGCAGCACAAAAGGAAGAGTAGGTAAGAAGAGAATGAAGTTTTGTTTTCATACTTTCACATCAATGATCTATAGCACAAAAATAGAAAAGGAATAACAGCATTCCATTCCTAAAAGTACAAAATATAAGGATCCATTTAATCCTTATTTTCTCTCCCCTTAAGTCTAGGAATTTATTTCCAATCATAATATGAATTTAACACCCAAATTTCAACCTTCCTAATTTATTGATACTTCTCCTCAAGTTGTTGAAAATACATCAATCATACCCAATTTCCTAGCTCATAGTTCAAAAGCCTATCTCAAAACCCTGAGATCACAATATCTGCTACCTGTTGTGCAGCTGGTACAATATCTGTGATCACACTTGTTCCATTCGATCATGTCAAATAGGATTGTGAATAATGTTGATTGTTGTCTTGTTATCACAATACAACTTCATGGCAAAATAAATAGGCTTCTCAGTTCTTCTAAGACTCGAGCCACAGAACTTCACAGATTCTTGAGTTATTGGTCTAAATTCAGCCTCAACGATACTTCTAGCAATGGAACTTTGCTTACTGCTCCTCCACATAACAAAATTACCCACAGAAATGTGCAATATCCAAATGTACACCCCCAACCTATAATTGATCATGACCAATGACCAGTATACAACTTGTCATTTCTTGGTTTTCCATTCATATAGCAAAGAATTTTACAAAATTGCTTCAAGATATAACTCACAAGAGCAATTCAAAAATTGAGTTACCATGCTCACAACAAAAACATTGTCTGAACCGGCGTGTAATAAGTAAATTAATTTCCCAGCAAGCCTTTTGTATCTCAATGTGCCAACTGGCACAACCATATGTGACTTCTCTAAGCTCAGCATTGACCACTATAGGTGTATACGAAGGCTTAGATCCTCTATTTCTCATTTTCTATCAAGAGATCAAGAATGTACTTTTGTTTGTGATACCATGATACCCTGTTTTTATCTTGAGACTTCCATTCAGAGAAGTTGTACTAAATCTTTCGCTAGCCTTTGTTTCAATATGCTCATATCTTCAAAACCATCCCTACTTACAAATTACAATTATGCCATCTATATAGACAATCATACCTTTGACCTTTAACAACTTTATGAATCTTTCAAACAATGCTTTTGGGGAGATTTCTCAAGTCTGTATAATAACCGTTTTAGTTTGCATACCTTTGTTCCAAGCATCTAGAGAAACTAGGTGGAGGCTACATATACCCTTCTTCTCCCAATTCTCCATTTGAGAAGGTGCTCTTTACACCAGACACGAAGTAGACAAATTATTAAAGAGATATATACTTTGGAAGACCAAGGATGTTTTGTACAATACCAAATACCTTTCCTAACCGCTATGAGAAGATTGAGTAGACTTTACACAAAAAAACTTGAATCATCAATCTTAGGAACTTCTAAAGGATCATCAGACACTTCGTAATCCAACATTTGCATAAACTCTTGGTGACGTTGTTGAATGGAGCCTATCTTTTCTTATGCTTGAATATCCCTAGTAATTAAGACCTTTATACTGTTTCAAACATTTGAATAGTTTCGGCATTTTCATTTTAAGATGGCATTTAACAATTACAGAATTCACCAATTTTCACAATTAAATCATTTGGTTTCATTGATTCTGGTGATTCTTGAGATGGAATATCATTATGAAACCCGAGTTAAATCAAAACCATCTTCAGTGGTATCACGCAAACATTGTCATTTGAACCTTCCCATTGTTAATCGTCAAATAAACCCAACCCCTCCCAAAACAATCATTATGGCATTATAATAGGTTGTTATATTGCCTCACCGTATTGCTTCTTCCACATCCAAACATGTAAATGCAAATAAATGTGAATCCATAACAAAATAGGTTTCCTTTATGGCTTCCCAATCATGACAGGCTGTGGCAAGAAAACTATTGAAAAGTCTTACATCAACTAAACCAAATATAGTATACAAGTATGTACAAACCTCACTTTATAAGTTAGTTTTCTTATGATAGTATCAGAGTCAGTCCTAGTCAAGTTTGTTAGGTCTTCGTCACCTGCTATTAGGTCCTTTCTAGTCTCACAAGAAATGTTCAGTCCTTAGAAAAGAGAAGATAATGTAGAAAAGAGAATATGTTGAAAAACTTACATCAAGTAAAGATAAGGTCAAATCATAGTATATAAGTCAGTGTAAATCTCACTTTATAAGTTGATTTGGTGAAGTTGAAGTAGATTTAAATTCCACTATTTTAAGAAAAAACAAACAATTTTCCTGCTGCTAGATCCATGGAGTTGATCAACTAGGCAGTGACTGTGAATTCAAAGCATCGCTGCCTGTATTTTGGATCCGTGGTTGATGGTGGATGCACCTCCCCACCCAAATAGCCAAGTCTCTTTCACCTTATCATCAACCACCAAATGTAAAGTTTGGTTTTTTACATTCAGTTTATGACTGGTAATTTGAAGTGTTCTTAGAAAGAAATTTTGTTATTGGTCGATGATGCTCATTATCCAAGTCCATCAAAACCACTGTCCTGCCACCATTCTAATGGAATGAACTGGGATTCAACTAGGCAACCTAATTGTTTAAGGATGGGAGCCCTAAAGCTCTAGATACCATGTAGGTAAGAGGAGAGTGAAGTATTACTGCCATACTTTCAAGTCAATAACCTACAAGATATAAATAGAAAAGGAATAATAATAGCCTACTCCTTAAAAACAACATATCTTGGATTGATTTATTTGATCCTGGATTATTCTCCCCTTAATTCTAGGAATTTTGTATCCTATCATAATCTGAATTCAACATCCAAATTTCAACTTTCCAAAAACCACTAAGAGGAAGGAACACCCTAAAAATATGTAGTTAGTGAAATTTGACTCGCATTAGCTAAATGTTAAGCACTTCCTACTATTCTTGCTTTCAAACAACACAGTATATTTTAAAAAGTCAATGAGAAAGAGATAGGTAGATAATACTAGTGAGTCCAACGTGCACCCTCCGTTCCTATGTTAATAGACCCTTTCAACTAATTCACACCCTTTCGAGAAAATTAGTTCAAATAGTTAAAAAACAATAAATTTGTCAACAATTTGTGTTGTTGTTCCAAAATTACTCTTATCATATATTTAAAGCTAAAGTAGTTTAATGAAACTTTGTTATTCGTGAAGAGACAACAAATGTTCTGGGAAGGGCCATATAAACGGGGAATAAAGGAGGTATCTCGATTTAGTTAAGCTTTGGGATTCATTTCACACACAATGAAAAATAAATTGATTACATGGGACAAAACATCTTCTAACCAAAAAACTGTTGTAAGGATAAAGTTGCAACGAACCAGGTGAAGAGTTTTACAGCGGTGCAAAGGGTAAAGAATTTGACCAGCAGCAGTATCCATATCTGCGTGACATTGAAGAAAAGCCAATAATAACAGGTAACTAATCAAGTTATCATTTAACACTAAAGTAGATCAGCTTTCTGGTTCAGCTTAAAAGGAATGAACCGTAAGGCTTCCGACAACATCTTGTCCTCTTGAACAAGACAGGAACAGCTCCATAAATAGGCAAAAATGGTTAAAAGTATTTGCACCTAAAAAAATTACATTAAGCATAAATCCACAAAAGAAGGTTCGTACATTGGCAACAGAGAACGGTGCACAACCAAGCTTACGCTCCAAGCTTCGTGGAACGTGGAACATGCCACAGTCTCCGCCAAAAACGAGTTCAAATTCGATTTATTACTACTAACGAAAAGGAACAAATAAAATGGAATTGAAGAAATTTGAAAGGGCGTGAATCGTTACGTAGAAAAACTGCGTCGAATCTATGTAACGGGAAACGAAAAATTGCTGAGTAAATTGGATGGCCGGAAATTGAGGTGATTTTTAGCAAAAGGGAGCATGGAGAAAAATAGTACAGGAGAAAGAGAAGAGTACCTGAGGGATAAGAGGAGCAAAGGAATGGAGAAGAAGATGGAGATGCGCAACCACGCTTGGAAATGGAACCGGGGACAAAATTGGAATTCAATAAAATAGGATTAGGGGTGATGAGCATGGTGTTGGCCTAATAAGAGAAAAATATTGTGTGACACTGAGAAATTTCCGAGTTCTGAACAAAAACAACCATTTTTATAAAACACATACACAAGCGTTTTTTATTACAATAAAATAATATAGCTTTAAATAAATAAATAAATAAATAAAATTTTTATTATTGTATTATTTTTTTAAAATATTTATTCAAAAAATAGAAAAATAAAATAATTAAAACGTGTAAAAGTTTATAGAAATAAATTTAAAAAATTACGCAGCAGTTACTTTTAGAAAGAAAAAAAATATGCAGTTATTTCAAAATAAAGAAAAATTATTTAATAAAAATTTTCTATTAAATAAATAAGTTATCTTTTATTTATTGAAAATTAAAATTATTCAATTAAAAAGTATATATAGATAATTTAACTAATAATAGTTTAAATTAAACCCAAATTTTAGTTATAATACTAACTTATAATTTTTTAAGATAAATTCCTACATATTATTTAACAACTAATAAAATAACATATTATTAAATTATTCTTTTTGTCACCTTGGATCCTTTTTCTCCATCTATATGTGTATTTTACATAATAACTTATTATGTACACATATTTTACAGTAAAAATATAAATGAATGAGATTAAACCATTCAACACCTCTCTCTGCAGCATTTGGTTAAAAATAAACATTGCGCATGGCGGTTGAAGAAATTCTTTTTTCAATCTGTCACTGCCACATGAATAACTTCACATGCTCCACTTGTGTGGTATGTAAGGACAGATAGGTAATTAACAAAAATTAGTTGGATTTCAGTGCAAAACTTTCCCACATAGCATGGGGGATGATAAGATCTGTGTGTTCCCCACAACTTGCAGATTAGTTTAAGTAAAACATAAATAATATGTTTTATTTCTTCGGATCCCTTTTTCTTTTATTAAATCAAAATCAGTCTAAGGTTGGGCTGCTCTTTGGACCCAGACATAGCCCTGTAAAGCCCAATCTGCTTATGTGAAGAAAATGAACGAAAGACCAGATCAAAATTGCATGGGTGTTGCTCCCTCCACCTCCACAGCCTTCTCCCTTCACCTCTCCAATTATCTTTAATTCCAATTATATCCTTAAAGTTAAAATTTTTTACTTTTATTATTTTAATATTTTAATATTTAAATATAAACTAATATAAATATACATTATTAAAATACATTAAAAAGATATTCAAAAATAATAAATCAAAATATTAAAATATCTAATAAAATAATAACAGAAACATAAAATTAAAACAAAGCTTAAACGGATGACATCCTTCAACGGATGTCAACATCCGTTGAAGGATGTCATCCGTTTAGGCTTCGTTTTCATTTTACGTTTTAGGGTTAAAGGATTATTGGAAAGATTATTGGAAGGATTATTGGAAGGGTTTAGGGTTTAGGGTTTAAGATTATTGGAAGGATTATGACTACGTACCTGGAGAGGAACCACGACAAGCACACTACACCAC